ATAGCTACGAAAGCGACGAAGAAGAGCAACACGAAGCAATTCTAGCCAATGTAATCCCGCCTGATAAAGACTTTCTGAAATTTCATCAACCTCGTGCTACCAAAGTAGACGAGATCACGCCGGATATCCAACACGTTGACGAACACGACATGGAAGGAATATATACGTCTTCAACCAGTGAAACTGAAAGGACAGGCCGAACATAATCAAGGAGAACCATAAGTCCGCAACAGGCGGCCACAAAGGCATTACGAAAACCTATTCGCGAATCAAACAGCAATATACGTGGAGTAACATGAAGATGCAAATCCAAGATTACATTCGACACTGCCGCACCTGTCAATTATAAAAACTAATACGAAGAAAAGTAAGACAACCTATGGCACTTACAGACACTCCAGGACGAGCATTTGATAAAATCGCACTTGACATCGTTGGACCTTTACCAAGGACAGCCAAAGGAAACGGATATATCCTTACAATACAGGATCTCCTCATAAAATACTCAGTATATACTCCTCTCGCAGATGCTACCGCCGAGAGTACAGCAATTGCGCTCATCAACAATTTCATATGCCGATTTGGGTGCCCAAAAAGTATACTGACAGACCAGGGCAAGAAATTTTATGAGCCACTTAATGAAGGCAATAACGAAGAAATTCCGTATCCAGCAACTCCGCACCACGGCCTTTCACCCTCAGTCCAATGGATCACTCGAAAGGTCCCATCATGTTTTAACCGAGTATATAAAATGTTTTATAAATAGCAAGGAAGATTAGGACGACCCAATTGACAGAGCTAACTTCTCGTACAATACTTCTGTACACGAGAGCACCGGATTTACCCCGTATGAATTGATAATTGGTAGGCCGGCTAGGATCCCTTCAGGAACAAATCGCGAAGGCGATGCAGATACATACAATCAATATTTGTTAAATCTATTTACCGACATTTCCGATAAAAGATAATGATTTATTTATATGGTAGTTTTCTCATTATTAAAACATACAATATAAAAATGAGTAAAGGACTCTTATAATTCAAACATAAAACAATAAGTAAAGAACAATTAATTAGAAATATACAATATAAAAATGAGTAAAAGACTTATAATTCAAACATAAAACAATAAGTAAAGAACAATTAATGCCCATTTCCACCAACATGAATTAACTTTAATCTCGGTTCAACTTATCTTTAGAATTAGAAAAAGACGAAGAGCAAGTTGAACCGACATTAAAGTTAATCAACGTTGGTGGAAATCAACATAGGAGTCTAAAACATCTAAATATTATAAATATAATTATAAAAGCAATAATTATCTTACATCTTTTTCGCGTTTAATCTATCTATAGAAACATACAATATAAAAATAAGTAATCGTTCTTAACTTTAAGTTTGTTCGCGTCACATGCTCCAACATGCTCCTACTTGCTCCCAACAATAGCTCCTATCTCTCAATACTCACTCAACGCGCTCGTTAGAGTGCATAGGAGCTACGGTTAGAGGAAGTAGGAGCATGTTGAAGCAAGCGACAAACCTCTTATATCATCGTTGTGATATATATACTTCTATCTCTGCGTTCTTACTCAACTGTGATGAAAGTAATAACCATTTAATCCGAATGTATGTATATATGATCGTATACAAACTTACCTTTTTTAAAAAAGGTAAAAAAAGCGCTAAGCGTGCATGTTTCTTGTGTAGAACCACCATTTGGGCCGGTTTCACCAATGCCAATTACTTAATCGGCCGTGAAACTGATGATTTGATATCAACAACTGGCGCCGTTTTTATTTAACTCTAATGACATGTATCATTCGTATAAAAGATTTGATATCAACAAAATTAGCGCCAAGCTAAATTCATCAAAATTTTATTAAAATTTTTCAAAATATATTATTCGTAAAAAAGATCAACAACTGGCACCAAGTTAAATTTTACCATTTTATTCCTTCCAAAGAAAAATTTATTTAACTCTAATGATATGTATCATTCGTATAAAAGATTTGATATCAACAAAATTGACGCCAAGCTAAATTCATCAAAATTTTATCAAAATTTTATGTATTATTCGTAAAAAAGATTTGATATCAACAATTGGCGCCAAGTTAAATTCCATTAATTACAGTAATTCGAATACTAAATTAAATAAATAATTTATTTAACTCTAATGATATGTATCATTCGTATAAAAGATTTGATATCAACAAAATCGGCGCCAAGTTAAAAAGTTAAATCTCACTTCTTTATACCATACCAAATTAAATAAATAATGAATATTAATCTAATGGTATGTATTATTTGTATGAACGATTTGATATCATTTACTTAATCCAAATGGTACCATCTTTAATTTTTATTAAATGAAAAACTTAAGTACATACTTATTGAAGAATCTTCCTATTCCAATCCAAATGGTTTAAATTCTTTTTAAATGAAATTATTATATCACAATTCATTCAAAGACATTTCCTCTTCCAACTAAAGTAGTGGTCATTTAATTCTTCTTCAAAACATTATTATACAAAACATTATCACAAAATTGCGTTACCTTGCTCAACTTAAGTGTTACCACAAAAAATTAAAGAATTAACCGCATAAAATGAAAAAATTTAATTTAAACAGAAAGTATCAACAACTGTGCTGCCAAGTTAAATTCTACTATCAAAATGAAAAGTAAAACTCAAGTGATACTATCTTTATTATTTACTTAATCCAATTGGTGCTATCTTTAATTTTTATGCAATGAAACCTAAGTATACGTATACTTATTGAAAAATCTTCCTATTCCAATCCAAATGGTTTAAATTCCTCTTAAATGAAATTATTTATTATATCACAATTCATTCAAAGGCATTTCCTCTTCCAAATAAAGTAGTGGTTATTTAATTCTCCTTCAAAACATTATACAAAGCATTATCACAAAATTGCGTTACCTTGCTCAATTTAAATGTTACCACAAAAAATTAAAGAATTAACCGTATAAAATGAAAAAATTACAGTCAGAAGTCGCTGGATGCCAGATCTGGAGAATACGGTGGATGGGGAAGCAATTCGAAGCCCAATTCGCGTACTTTTGCCAATCAACACACAAAATTCAGATTTTTCCATTGTTTTGAAAAATGCAAAAGTAGCGTTACTTAAACCACTGTAACTTGTAAAGTAAAGGTCCGATTGTCGTGAAATTTTAGCTCACATCGTTTGACGGTTAGTACTTTCTAAAAATTATATGGATTTGTTATTAGTGCGCCATCTATTATGTCAGGCCCGGGACTTAGTGAGTGATGTGTTATATATATAAACAATACTTTACAAGTTTCGGCTCTCGGATTGAGCCTTCTTCAGAAGAAAATATTATTAATTGATCATACGCCGGGGGGGGGGGAGAATAAGTTATCTTTTCACAACCGAATCCATGAGACCCCCGTCAGAGTCAGAACATTGCTCACCATGGTTGGAAAATCAGAAGTGAAGGAAATATCCACTGTGAAATTTTTTCAAATTAATAGATAAAATTCTATATGTTATGTAGGTTTTAATTAGGAGAACTCTGCCAAACCTCTCAGGAAGGACCCATCATTCGTTCCGTTAGTCGAAATCACTTGCAAGAAACCAGATTCAAATCAGTAATTCACGCTCCATTACAAAAATAACTAACTTCAGCACATAAGTGAGACTTATTGTCCGTTCCTTACAATAGATCGTATCTTTGCGAGAATTCGGTGTCGACTGAGCAAGACCGCAAACGCGTCAATGTTAAAACTTGTTTATAATTGGAATGTATGCTTTATTGAGACCTTCAGTATCCGTTTGCAAATTCAGACTGTTTTTCTATCTTTTAATATTGAGCATTTCCGACACTAAACGCTTTCTGTAACACGGTTCTTCATCAAGAATTTCAACATTATCCCATTGAAATTCATGACCGTATTGCAGCCTATGCACAGTGATAACAGATAGGGTTAACGCATTATGTCTAATATGATTACGGTGCTCGGATATTCTTGTTTTTAACTGTCTGTCCATCTGACCGACATAAGACGCGTCACAGTTTTCGCAAGAAATTTTATAAACTACGTTGTTCTTAGAGTTTTTGGAGAGTGAATCTTTCTGCACCTTTATGTATTTTGCCATCTTGTTTGGACTATGAAAAGACACCCTGACGTCGTTATTACTAAATCTCTTGAATCTTTCCGTATGATGTGGTATGAATGGAACCGTAAGCCATGAAGACGGTTGTACGTCATTCAAATTCTTAGTAGAATTGTCTTGTGTCATATATTTTGTTTTTAATAATTGTTTAATACGTTGATTTACGTATTGAATATAAATGGTAACGGGTAATCATTTTCCAGTAATATGTTAATGACAAAGATTAAATTCTTGGTGTGGAAAGAGCAATCTGAAAGAATGAACGCTCTGTCCACTAAAGAATATATAGTACCTTTTTTCTGAGATACCGGATGATTTGAATTAAAATTAAGAAATCTACCAGAGAAGAAAGGCTTATGATATACCTGTCAAATATAAGTTTGCTATTGAGTCTAAAAATTGTGACATCCAAAAATTCAAGTTTGTCTCCTCCGATTTCGATAGTGAACTGGAGGCGAGGATGAAAACTTAAATGCTTGTAGTAGCGCTTCAATGTCAGAAGGGGTAACCGCCATACAAATATCGACAATGTATCTGTAGTAAAAAGGACAACTTCTATTAAACGACACCAAGAATAACCTTTCAAGTCTCCTCATCACCAGATCCGCAATAATGGGTGACAAAGGTAAGCCCATGGGTATGCCAAAACATTGCTTATATATCTTATTATTAAACGTAAAAAAGGTTAAATCTAATACAAATTTTATTGCTTCCAGGAGTTCATTCTTTGGTAAAGGACAGTCTCGAGAGATATGATTCCACTGTTCATTCACACAATCTACGGCTATGTCTAATGGAACGTTCGTGAAAAGTGAAAGATTTATAAGCAATGTTTTGGCACACCCATGGGCTTACCTCTGTCACCCATTATTGCGGATCTGGTGATGAGAAGACTTGAAAGGTTATCCTTGATGTCGTTTAACAGAAGTTGTCCTTTTTACTACAGATACGTTGACGATATTTGTACGGCGGTTACTCCTTCTGACATTGAAGCGCTACTACAAGCATTTAATAGTTTTCATCCTCGCCTCCAGTTCACTATCGAAATCGGAGGAGACAAACTTGAATTTTTGGATGTCACAATTTTTAGACTCAATAGCAAACTTATATTTGACAGGTATCGTAAGCCTTTCTTCTCTGGTAGATTTCTTAATTTTAATTCAAATCATCCGGTATCTCAGAAAAAAGGCACTATATATTCTTTAGTGGACAGAGCGTTCATTCTTTCAGATTGCTCTTTCCACACCAAGAATTTAATCTTTGTCATTAACATATTACTGGAAAATGATTACCTGTTACCATTTATATTCAATACAGTAAATCAACGTATTAAACAATTATTAAAAACAAAATATATGACACAAGACAATTCTACTGAGAATTTGAATGACGTACAATCGTCTTCATGGCTTATGGTTCCATTCATACCACATCATACGGAAAGATTCAAGAGATTTAGTAATAACGACGTCAGGGTGTCTTTTCATAGTCCAAACAAGATGGCAAAATACATAAAGGTGCAGAAAGATTCACTCTCCAAAAACTCTAAGAACAACGTAGTTTATAAAATTTCTTGCGAAAACTGTGACGCGTCTTATGTCGGTCAGACGGACAGACAGTTAAAAACAAGAATATCCGAGCACCGTAATCATATTAGACATAATGCGTCAACCCTATCTGTTATCACTGAGCATAGGCTGCAATACGGTCATGAATTTCAATGGGATAATATTGAAATTCTTGATGAAGAACCGTGTTACAGAAAGCGTTTAGTGTCGGAAATGCTCAATATTAAAAGACAAAAAAACAGTCTGAATTTGCAAACGGATACTGAAGGTCTCCATAAAGCATACATTCCGATTATAAACAAGTTTTAACATTGACGCGTTTGCGGTCTTGCTCAGTTTGCTGCAAGGAGACTATGTTGATGAATAAAGTCGAATTTTGCCTAAAAGTTGTTGTTTTATTAGTTAGACCCGGGACTTATTGAGTGATGTGTTATATATGGCTAATTTTAAATGTTTTATTACCGACGGTCAATTTTTGTTAGAAGTATATTGCGCATACTCAATTTTAATTTGGTTTTATTTCCGATTGTCAACTTATGTTAGAGGTATTTTGCGCATACTCAGTTTGATTTTATAAGTACTCTATTGTAATACGAATAATTTAATCTTGAGAATAGTTGACACGTAACGTTAATTATACACTGGTTTTATTGACTTATATTCAAATTTTACAAATTTTATTATTGACTCTTATTTCGTCCCTTTTCACATTGTTTATATAATTTAAAAGATAATGTAAAGTCAAAGTAAACATTTTTTGTAAAAGAAAAATTTTTAATTCGATATTTAGAAATATCAATGGTTACTTCCAAAATTGTAGATGTTGATTAAAAAATGTTATTTCATTAAAGAAATAATATTTTTAATAAAAAATTATACTTTAAAATGAAAAAAAATCTTATCTGAGCTACTAAATAAATTTCTTATTTTTTAACGGTCTTATAACAAATGCCTGTAACGTCCGATGCGCCTACAGTATAGTGCCCCGTCCTTTTACCAAGCGAGCGCGAGCACGGAATAAAGCGAATAGACATAATATGTGCCGACTACAATCGCGTACAGCTATTGGCCACGCCACTGAAAACGTCGCGATTGAATGCCGCGCATACGGCGCCTGCGCCAGACATTAAACAATAAAAACGTTCAAAGAATGCACTCTCTTGCATAAATATCGTCGCCATGGGATAGGAAATAGTGAATACAACAGCCGACTTCGATGCAGTCACAAGGGACGACTGCAGTCTTGCGGAAAAACGAATAAAAACGCTTACCAACAACATAACGCATCTCAGTGCAATTCCAAATGCACCCACCGGTCGCAAAAGGCCTCTGAATACGAACGACGTCATCACGAATAAAATCGAAGCGCACATAACTAAGAGAAAGCCTTAAACAAACACCAAAATTCCACGCGCACAAAGAACGAAAAGACCCGGAACAATACAGAAACTTACAATGAAAAAACGCGCAGACATGATACCCAATAAACATCGTTCCGTAACATTTACGTAATCATTACGGAACGATATTCCACTGTTCTGTAAGAGTTACGTCATTTTCAGATCAAAATGTCAGCATATTTTAATTATTTTTCGCGTAACAAAGTCGGTAAAAGAAAGGAACGTACACGTAACATTTATATATAAATAACGTAACATTATCACAGAGTTACGTAACATTTACGAAGTTTTCAGAGAATGAAAATTTATGCTATTCAAATTAACGTAAATGTTATGTAAACTATCCATCGAAATAGTGACAGTACGGTCATACGTAACAGTTATAGCCATTTTACGTCAATGATATATCTGCTACGTTTTTGGTTCTTTGTGCTGTTCTGTAACATTTACATACACTATGCTATGTAAATGTTCCGAAATTGTGCACAGCTTGTTTACTGGGTATGTAAGTTCTGCCGCGCCAGGCTGCAGCACGCGGCAACCGAGCACACCACACGAACATCGCGACCCCCGCAATGAGATAACGCGTTCAAATCTAGTAAAACCTAATCACTAACAAAGTAAGTTACTAATTAGAAGATAGGCACGTTCTAGAGAATTTCGCAATAGCACGTGGACGAAAACATCCCCTTTCCGCGAGGGGCCACGAAGCCAAACATATATAAAGCAGAGCGTTTTAAGATGCGCGTCCTCATTTTTCCTCATCATTCTTCCCGTCAAATAACCACGGTAAGTTCTCCAAGCGGTTTAACTAGCGCTCTGACACTTCCGTCTTCCCAAAAATTCAGCCCCGATCGTGGGCCTTTGCGGCATCTGAAGGGCTACTCCCATCCTCAGATTCGGCGACGCTAAACCAAAGCGACGACGAAGCTCGTCTCCTGAGGAGCTCAAACGAGCGTCTTCCACGGCGTCGAGGCCTCCGTGCTCACTCCCCTCTCTCACCCTCTCGGTACAACGGCCCGCGCCGTTGCGGTCGCCGTCGTATATCGCGCAAACCGACGAGGCCTGCGATCTTAACGAGCAAACCGCGTATCACGAACAACTAGCCGTGTAAATTAAATATGAAAATAATTAATCTTTATCTTTCGTTTAATTCTTTCCGTCTAAGGCCCTTTATTATTCTTCCCTGTTCCCTTTCCTGCACAGGAATCAGAGAGCGTAGATAGAGCGAAGCGTGTGATGAAAATATCACAGCTGCCCTCAGGAAAGAGATCTTTATATCTTCACCAATTTTTTCTACACCTTCGTGTACTACGGGCGCTTTATCTGACAATTCCTCTAACTCTCTGTTTTAATTTCCTTCCTGTGCATAATAAGGGAATACGGAAGCGTAACATAAGCTAGGTATAAGAAAAGATATCTCATGAGCGAAATAATAACTCAATTCGTGTCTATAACAAAGGCACTGGTGACAGCAGCCTGCCTCAACGCGTAAACACATACCGAAAAACGAATCTCACCCGAAGCCAAAGCTTCGCCCCGCGCGCCCCGCTATGAGCTCGCGCTCCCACAATTCTATATCGCGTCTCGAGACCGCATTATACTAAACACGCGACTCAGGACGTAACAATGCCAATGTGGTATTTTATATGTATATGTCACAACAACGTTTTACATACACTTTTATTAAAGTCGATTTTAAAATTTCCTAATTTTTCTTATTCCATTACGCCCTTAGATGCGATAAGATTTACCGCACCAAGCGATAATCAAGTATCCAATCAAGGTTCGCAGACTAAATACGTAGAATTAAATACATATTCAATGGTAATAAATATTTATTTCAGTAAGAAAAACGTTTTATTTTACCTAATGAATTATTTAAATAAAGAAGTTATTATTTTTAAGATTAAATATATACAACATTTAAAATAGAAATAATTTATGAAAATTAAAAAAAATTTAATATAATAAAGGGAATGTGTTTCTTTTTTAACACATTCTGCCTTACAAACATTTTAGCAGAACAACTTTTGCAAATGATTTGTTCGCAACTAGAGCAGAACAAGTCAGAACTATCGTAAAAACTGCTCAAAATTATCAGCACATCACATTTCCGCTGAGTGATGTGCTGGTAGCAACAGTTAAATTGTTTAAAAAACGTTTGCAAGCAGGAATAACTTTTGATTATGCTTGTTCCACATAGATTTTAAGTAGAACGAGTCAGAACTGTCGTCAAAGATGCTGAAAATTGTCATGATGCTCTTTCGTGGATTAAGATTAAATCGAAGCTGTTTAAAAGTTATTAATTGTTGAAATTTTGACTTGATACTTTATATAATAATTTTATTTAAAATTAACCGGACAAATGTCTGTTATAGCCGCAGCTATAACCATTATAATAAAATAAGAATGAGGCAACTTAGCAACAGAAATGTAGAAATTAATTGGGAAACTTGGTCATTCTGCAATGGAACTAAATACCTCTGACTTCCGAAAAGTCAGCATACTCATTGCCTACTTTAGTTCAATTGAGAAAATACAATCTTGCGGAAGCAGCACGCAAATAACGCAAGCTGTTCATCGCAAGTTGCAGAAAGACGGAAGCTATTGCCCGTCAGATTAAGAAATCAGGTTGCAAGTGTCAGCAATGACCACCTTAAAAATGAGAGCAACCGAAATCTGCTCGAACAGCTGACTGAAGTGCAAGTCCAGTCAGCAGTTCGAACAAGTATATTAACCGTGACATACTGGCAAAAGGGAGAGTTTACTATCAGCTGTTATCTGAGACAACGCCCGTACGCCAACAGCTCACGCGTATAAAATATAAGTCGACCGATTCATAAAGTCAACGCGAACGCGAACTTATCATATAATCAAAATCGGGCCGACGCGAAATCGCAAAGTACATGTCAAGTGGCTAAATCTTGTAACACATAATATTTAATTGTGATATTGTAAGAATTTACTAAAGTTATTAAAGTGTTATTTTGTATTGGGTGGTTTATTTGTGTGTCCTGGTCCTCGGCGAATCCCCTACCTGTATCCTTCACCCAAGGGTACAACAAAATTGGTGGCAGCGGTAGAATTGCCAAAAGAAGGGACAAACAGACGGGCTTGCCAAAAACACGGACAACCAGGACGGTTTGCTCCAGAAAAGGACAACCCGTAAGAATTGCCAAACACGGACCATAACGGAGAGAAAACCTAAAGCGAGACACCAGGTATATCAGACTACTCCAAGGATCCAGGCACTACCAACCGAGTAAGCCAATCATACAATCTAAAACACAAAAAACGATTTGCGTATGCTTCGTGAATAAGCAACGTGTTCACACAAGAGAAGCACATTTAAATACGCAAAGAATAAACGCGAATACGAGCTGAAAAGAGACGCTGTGAATCGTCTCATAAGTTCTGAAAAATCAGGCGGACGGACAACAACTATCAGAAAAGAAGAACGTCAGACAGCCAGCACAGCTGACTGATAACGCACACTGGTCATTGTCCCGCTGACATCCGACCGGAGCAGCCAAGCTGAAGAACGTAAAGGAACATCGCCGCATCGTTAGGACTACGTCACGAGCCATCGCCGCAACACAACGACGCATCGCTCATCAACGAGACTATGAGGCATCGACGTCACGAGCCGCCAACACAACGCCGCATCGCTCACCGACGCAGCCGAATCATCACAAACGCTGACATGCTCATCGTAATGTAAGTCAAAGACATTATAACCTACCTGCGAGCGAATAACATGCGTACAAAAAATACGTAACTATGCGAATAAATTAAACACTTCGCGAGTAATAAAACCGCGAGAAGAATTTTTAACTTACTAAAAGCGAATGACCGAAAATAGGAATTCGGAACCGCGAGTAAATGATAGTCAAAGCGAATTACCAT